GAAATAACGCCGCGTCCGCTCCACAATGGAATTAGCGGCGCCCCCCCCCACCCCGCGCCCTACTGCGCATGCGCCGCGCACGGCCTGCTGGGAGCCGCCCGGCCGGGAGGACAGCGCAGGGCTGACAGCGCGCAGGCGCAGTAGGGCCACTGGGCTCGCTCCGCTCGTCTCCCTGCTTCCATTGCGCAGCCTGGCTCAGCCCCTTCGCTGCACGCGGGGCCGGCGTGGGAGGAGGCGGCCCTGGTGCTGTGGGAACTGGGGGGCACGTGTTTGCTCTCCGTACACGCTTTATGAGCTCCCACACAGCCCGAGGGGACAAATACTGGCACTGGAAGCTGCGTACGTGTGCACACACGTGTTGGTATGCAGACACGCGGACTCCCGCGGAAGGGAGCAGGTGCTGTAGCCGCATCCTAGCGCTCTACCTCATGGTTGTCCTCCATCATCCACACAGCCATCCCTCTCCTCAAAGAGTTTTTCAACATCTTAGGCCTGTCCGGCACATGCTTGAAAACCCCTGTTTTTGGTTGTAGCCCTGTTGGCCTAAGGCAGAGCTTTCCAAACTGTGTGCCGCGACACATTAGTGTGTCAGCGGCAGTGTGTAGGTGTGTGTGCGAAATGCAGAAAATTTTGCGGAAGGGCACCGCGGAGCTCGCTTACTCGCGTCTGCTTCCCTTGGCCCCTCCCCCGGAACTGAATTACTGTGTCACGAAATGATGCATGTCTAAAAAGTGTGTCGCCAACATGAAAAGTTTGGAAAGCTCTGGTCTAAGGACATGGGCGGGCAAGATTCTTGGAGTAAATGTGATATCTTATTTTTCCCCCCAACTACTCAGTTGGTCTAATAAAAGGTATCACATCCACTCAAAGAACCTTGCCTGGAAAGCCCAGGGGAGATGAAAGCCACCCTGCCTCGAAACCTCGTCACCCCTGTAACCAAGGCATTAGCAGGCAATGGTAGCCAAGTCTTGCAGCGAAACCCACTGGTAAATGTGCACTTACTGGTCCCTTTCTAGCCCACTAACTAAAAGACCTACCAGCCACGCTAAGCTAACCCAACTGAAGGAATATGAAGGGGGAGGAAGGGCCAGCCCTGGTAGCCATCATATCCTTGGCCATCAGGGCAGAACCCTGAACGTACACACAATTTGACGTGCTGAAGATGGTGTGAGACTTCAGCGGATGTTATGCGTGTATACATAGGCATATGATCTGCCCATGTTTTGTTCACAGTGTGAAACGATTATTAACAAACTTAAATTTAGCTCTTTTTGCCTATACTGGGTTTTAAATATTTTACACATTTGCAGGGGGCCACATCCTGACGCCTTTATTAATAATCAGAGCATCTTAGTACTGTGCATTACATACGTGAACCACTCCTAAAATCAGGAAATGTGCACACTCACCTGTGGGCATTTCTTTGAGGATCTTGATGGAGTGTGCCCTGGAAATGTGCAGAATTCACCCTGTCTTCCCAAAATGACTAGCACAAGTTATGGCACCTGAGATAAAACTTTGCTGGCCAGTTAACTGAACACATGGAGAACTGAGAGCTAACATTTCTGACCACTGCTCTGTAGACCCTCTTCAGATCACTACTACCCAAATTCTTAATTATTGATTTGTTAGACAGATATACAGTTGGACTACTAAAGAACTTTGTAATAAAATTCTGTTTCATTTCTAACTGTTGATTTGAAAAAAACATTTTCTACAGATTTTTATTACTGAACCCCAATTTCACATTAAGATGTACCCAGGTATATAAAAAAAGCTTCTTATTCAACTTAATTTTTTTCCAGAAAGATAACAGAACTGTACAAAACCAAGCTCTGATAATGATACTGTATACTTCATCCTGCTAAAAATATTTTCCTTTTTAAGAACTCTTGATTTGTATGTAATCCATACAGATTGCTAAGTAATTTTCATAAACCCATCTGCAATTGTTATAAAATCTTCTAGTAGACTTTAAAAATCTTCCAAAATATACATAAATGATATAACAAATTAAAGCTGGAATGTATCAGGTTTTTACACACAGAATTTTTTAAGTCATCTGAATTAAATTAGTGCCTACATTTCATGTGAGTATAAATGCAGTTCCTCTGAATCTTCAAGTGAAGTAAAACTTAGTTCATTTTTAACTGCATATAAAACATAGCTTGAATTGTGCAAGTTTAAGACTGTCAGGTGTAGCTAAGTGTTAAAGGAAAGACTAGGAATTCAAAAAACTTAAAGCAGCAGTAAAATATTAGTCAATGCCTATGAGAAATGAGTCTGTCCCTTTATTCAGGGTGTCTGTGTTTAATGGTAAGCTGGGATGCATATAAGCTAGTCCAAGCATGAAGGGCAGTAGGACACTCATATGGAAAGCCAACTTTGTCCCTCAGTTATCAAGATAAGAAACCTGTCATTTCTCTCATTCACTCTGTCAGCCTTGAGATACTCCAAGCAGACTTACCTCTGTGTTGTACACCCCATATATCAGGAAGATGAAGAGACCCTGTAAAATAAAATGGAGGGAAAAAGCTGTTAACTCTAATCATTTCAGCAGTAGAAATACCTGAAATAAACTTTCCTGGGAACAGACAAAAGAAGACACACTTCATCAAGGTCAATTTATTTTTCTATTTTTCAACATTATAAGCTGTACCTTGAGCATTTATTTGGTAACGTGAGAGTGCATCACCTATGGTATTTGTGCTATTCAACTGTTTGTCAATGAAAGACTCAGCACCAGATAATCTAAAATGTTAATTGGAAAACACAAGTATAGCTGAATGGTCCATTGAACATCATCATATACAAAACATACATGACATAAATAAGGAAAAGAGCAAATATGCATATTCTTAAACATTGTTAAAACTGCAATTAATAAAAGCTTCAGTACAATATATTACAAGTTTCCAAAAAAAACCCATATATCCATACAGGTATACATGTAGCAAAAGCAACCCAAGTTAAAAAATGTTCAACTTCTCTTAAGAGATTAAAATAGCAAGGAATTGGTAATATAGGAGGCAACAAGGAAGTAAAGGGAAAAGTAAAAATTAGTGAAACAGCTAAATTATTCAATAGTTCCCTAATTAGCTATGACTTAACAGTAAAGACTAGTGAACTCTATATGGCAGAGGTAAATAAAATATTACAGAACAGCAAATACTTTCATATTTTAACAAACCCTATCTTTTTAATACCTTTCTTCAATTCTGACTACTGTGGGATAGTAAGAAGCAAAAAAAGTAAGTATTTTTAGTAGTTCTTGCTGCAAAGAAGCTGTCTTTCCACAGGACCTGGTTTACAAGGTCAAGGCTTGATTTAGTATAATATAATACTAATTCTTCTAAAGTCCAGATAGACTTAATATATGTACAAATTACCAAATAAGGATTGTAGCAAATCAGAAAAATTTTATAAAATAAGTATTGTTTTTAGAAAAATACTTTAATAGCTTGAGTTCAACCCCTCAGGTATAAACAGACTAAATGGGAATCTCCTAGTCATGCAAAATTGTTTTGAACTCATATATAGGACTACCCCACATTGTATAGACGCATGATATTTATACTTTGGTAAATAAGCTACCTGCAGCATCTGATGCATAAGATAATTTGTAAAAAGTCACTGACATTAGAATTTCTGTAGTTATCACATCGTCAGAATTACCATATTAATAGACAGTAAGCCCTAAGGGATGTTTTGTAGGCACAGTATTTCACCAGGTTATATAGCATGGATGTAAAAATTTGGGGGGATATAAACTGCTTATTATAGGTTCCTTTGAGAAACACTACACTACAGAGCACCATTTGGATATTTATATGCAAAATAAAAGCCGTCCTTTTAATGAGACGTGCGAACAGGCACAAAGGACAGACCAAAAAGTTCCTATCTTCTACAGTCAATATTAAACAGACCACATTTCTAGATTGTGCTTCTTCTTTGCATAGTAAAGACCACCACCTGAAAAATCGCAATTCAGGTAAATGAAGTGATTCATGCATGTAAATGATTATAGAAGTGTGTCCTTATTTTACATTCAAGGAAGAGTATGCACAAACTACTATACATGGAATATAGAAGTACAAGATATGCTGGTTAAATTTTCAGTGAACCATTCATTTTATCTCACAAAATAATTTTAAATCTGTCTTGCTTTATACTAAGATTAGATTGGAAAGTTCCTCTATAGGTACATTTCACAAAATAACATAGAATGAAAAAAAACTAATAAAATAAGATTATAGTAAAATAGTGATGGCTATATGACTACAAAAATCAAATGCATTGCACTGAAAATGTATTTTAATAATTAATTGGCCCTTAATAATCAAGTTAATATAATATGTAGTAATCCAAGTAGTATTTTAAGTATTACTTAACTTGCCTGGTTTTTGGAGAAGTACATTTTTGTATAAATGTAATGAACACAGACCTTTTTAAGGTCAGTGAAACTCATGCCAATTAGTGCTGAAGATTGTCAGTGATAATATTTAATGTTAATACTAAATACTACATTTAAGTAATCTGAACAATTAAAACATCAGAGCACTGTTATTCTTATGTCATTGTGAGGTTTGACATATACAGATGCACAGGAACAAGGGAAGGAGCATAATAAACAGCTCTATGCCTTGCTGTTGTGTGTGTGAAAGTAGGGGTGAGCTCTTGATAATTCCCCTCCCAGATAGGTGGACAGGAGGTGGATTGGGAGAGAAACCTCCCAATTCATGTGTGATAAAACAAGCAACAGCAAGACTACTACCCTATTGGAACAGTGGAAAAGCTAAAGTCCTTTCTTGGACTACCCATAGAGCAGTGAGCATAATCACATAGT